TGTATGGATGTGCACAGTGTGAGTGAAGGTGTCCATGGAGGCCAGAAAGAGGTGTCAGATCTCCTGTAACTGGAGTTACAGGTGATTGTGGTGCTGGGAACTGAACCTGGGTCTTCTGCAAGATCAACAAGTGTCTTAGTCATTGAGTCATCTCTCTAGCTCATATAGGCGTTTATTTCCCGGTGAAATACCACAGAATGGTCCATATGCCTTTGGAGCAAACAAGCAGGACTTGAAAATTTGAAAGTATGAATATCTAGGAAGCCATGTTCTGTCTCTTCATATTTGTATTGCTATTGTTCAGTCTTCAGCAAACTTTCTAACAGGAAGAACGCATAGTCCTTAAAGCCATTAGAATGGCTTTTAAAGAAAACCGATATTTGCGGGAACTCGTGGGATCTTACTATGAGGTTGTGGTATACTAGAGGATGTGTTTCTGCATTGAAAATTGTATTGCGAAGTGTTAAATTGGGGGCGATGAGATGCCTCGGTGAGCTATGGCACTTGTTAAGCTGATGACCTTGGTCCCTATCTTGTCATGGAAGAAGAAAAACTTAATTGTTGTCTGAATTACACATGTGTGCTATGGCATGCATACACAAAGATTCACAAAATAAATAAATGTAATAAATTTTATTTATTTTTTTGGAGGGGGGTTTCCAGGCAGGGTTTCTCTGTATAGCCCTGACCACCCAGGAACTTGCTCTATAGAGCAGGCTAGCCTTGAATTCAGATTAGCCTGCCTTTGCCTTCTGAGTGCTGGAATTAAAGTTGTGCACCATCGCTGCCTGGCAATTTTTTTTAAAGATGTTAAATCAGCATTCCTATTAAAGGTACTCAGTGCACTGACTGGGTTCCTCAGAACTGTGCTGGCATTACTGTCTATTTGTTGCCTCTTCTCATGGAGCCTCTGATATCGTTCTTATCTCTATATTTTACAAGCTATGAATATATCCAGTGAGTGTGAATCACAGTTTTAAGTTTGGTGTTAGTAGCTGCTATAAATTTGGAAAATGGATAGATGTATTAGCGAAGTTCGAAATTGATATTTGTGTGAGAATCACCAGAAGGGATCTGACCTCGATACTTTCCATGGGCCTTCATGTGCCTTTGATATGTATGAGGGCTGAGCATATTGAGTATGTAGGATAGAAAAACAGTTCAATTCAATAACACACTTCATAGTCTGTCTGCTGCACTAGCCAGCGAGCAGTCCAATTAGTGCCAATTGTATTGAGGATGATTATGATCGAGGGCTGGGAGAAACTCAGCTCAAACCATCATTTCCCTCCACAAAGGCCACTGAGCAACTCTTGATGATAATGACTTTAAATCACTCACACCTATGCCACATATGAACTAATAACTCGGAGGTGAGAGACTCCATTTCATATTACCAGTCCTCAGGGACTTTCAATCGCTCTTATCTTTTCTCTAAGTGCCTTAAATCTTGTGTAGTTGCAGGCTTAAATTTCAACATTTCAGTGATGAGAGAGATCTAGGATAAGAATAGATAGGAAGGCCACTAAGAAAACCCTACGAATTTATTGGCAGTAATGAACCACATGGCAAAACATCAAAGCAAATGCGTTTTGTCATTTAGAAGGCTGATTGAGTGTTAAGGTTTCTTTGAAATAGTTCGAATTAGAATTGGTTGAAATGATGAGGGGAGACTGTGAGAGAGAGCTGCAGTGAATGTATAAAACCTGCTGGCAGAACTTGTTACAGTTTCTATAGCAAAATATTTGGTGCCACTGATGTACCGGTGAAACTGCAATAGCTGTTACCATGGATTATATCCGCCCAAACAAGATGAAGGCTTGCGGAAGACTGCTGTCTCTCCTGTTTTAGGTTTCAGGGCTTGCGCTCTGTCTTGGAGCAGAAGCTCGGAACACTCGCAGGCAGGGTTTGCTTTTATGGCAGATGCAGGTAATTGCTCTGTAAGCCCCGAGAGCTCTTCTCTAAACTTGCTGCCTTTCAGTCTTTGTTTCCCAGAGAGAGCAGAATGCCTGGAAGACTTGTACTGTGGGTATGACTGCCAGCCGCATTAATGTCTTCTTTGATCTCTTATCCCTTATAGAGCTAAGCTTTGTCCTCTTGAGACGCCATGAGGGGATGTAGACCACCCAGTGATCTATTTTAGAAAAGCTTGGAAATAATGTAGGAAATGTCATTTGGGGAGGGGCAGGTGAAGCATAGCTGACCACACTGCTCGGAATGACATAGATCCAGGACGAGCATTTGTGTCAGTGCCCCCCCCCCCATATACAAGTAAATTGTTTGATGTTGAAAGTCTCAGAGTTGCTTAAATAAATTTTTTGATTAGATTGTTGAATCATAAATTTATCCATAGGATTAAGTGCTTGTTTGATTTTGGGTTGCTGTTTGGTGCTTTTGTTTGTTTGTTTGTTTGTGAGGAGCTGGATTACGAGGTTGCACATCAGTAGACCGGATGCCAGTCAGATTAAAGCTCATCTCAAACTTGCCCCTCTCTCTGCCCCCCTTCTCTTCCTGGTTCTCACCAGCTTGTGCTATAAGCACTTCTTGTCTCTTGAACAACAGAAGAAATAGGTAGTCCTGCTTTTCACAATGATCATGACTCCTCCAAAAATAGCTCAGAGAAGGTCCTTCACCAGCAGAGTGCGTCCAGAGCACCAGAGGCTTGGTGAAGCATGTAAAGGTGATGTAAACCGTAGGTTAGCACTTAAAAAAGAACACTGTTCTTCTTCCCTCTTGGTTTGGTGTTCAGGTGTGTTACACAGATGCTCTGACTGTTTGGTTCAGGTATAAAGCTGGGAGGGGATGAAGTTTACAAGATGCTAGCTTTGCTTCTGAGGCCAGGTCCTAAGAATCTGATGAAAATGCCTGTGTTTGGGTGTTATGAGATTGTGTCAGTGACTATATGCAGATACTCATGTTGGTGACCTCTTTTGCTATAGATCTTTCCAAAGTGAAACTGATGCGGTTTGATGACCCTCTGCTGGGGCCTCGACGCGTTCCGGTCCTTGGGAGGGAACACAGTGAGAAGACGCTCATTTCTGAGAGAGCCGTTTTCCACGTGGACCTAGAGAGCAAGAAAGTTCACCTCACTGAGAACGGGCTACGCACGGATATTGGCGACACAATGATCTATCTGGTTCACTGAGAAAACTCGTGCAAATTGGAGAGTTAATGTGGTTTCTAAGTTACTTCTGCCCTGAGACTCTCAAGCTAGATCTAAATAGACTTCATTTCTAACTGCTGGATTCTTTATGTAATCATAATTATACCAATTCATCTTTGATTTCTAAATCTAATAAACTTTGCATTTTTTTTCACCTTTGGGCCTCTGAGAGAAATGGTTTGCACTATATTATTTTTAACAAATAATTCTGTTTCCTAGGAATTTTTAATCTTAACACAAAAGTGTCAGGATGTCCCCTTTTTGGGTCTGTGTTTTATGTTTCAGAAAGGGTCTCACTGTAGCCCAGGCTGGCCTCTTGACTCAATTTCCTGAATGCTGGGATTCTGAGCATGTCCACTGTGCCCTCTTGTTGGTGTGTCCCTTTTATGAATTATGCTTTTTACTGTTTATGCAGGTTAAGGAGCATCACAGCTCTTGATAACATAATTGTTTAGATGACAGGCAGTGGTGGCACACGCCTTTAATCTCAGAACTCAGGAGGCAGAGGCAGGAGGATCTCTGGTTCCAGGACAGCCTGGTCTACAGAGTGAGTTCCAGTACAGATAAGGCTACATAGAGAAACCTGGTCTGTCTTGAAACAAACATGCAAAAAGAAAAGGAAAAGACTGTAGTGAGTGGGCTAGTTCCATTTCTTTTATGAGTGTGATGTGAGCATGTGTGTAGTGGATGTGTGTGGATGTGTGCAGAACTCTGTGCACATGCTCATGTGCCAGACAGAAGAGGACACTGGGTGTTTTGCTGTCACTCTTTGCTTTATTCCCGTGAGACGTGATCTGCCCCTGAACCTGAGCTAGACTAGCAGTTATGGATCCCAAGGAAACATTTTTGTTTTTCAATTTACTCTTATTATTGTGTGTCTATGTGTGGTGTGTGTCTGTATGTGGAGGGGGTATTTGTACCATGGTGTGTACATGGAGATTAGGGGACAGATGTCTGTATCTGCTTTTCCATCAGTTGCTTTTTGTTTTGTTTTTCGAGAGAGTTTCTCTGTGTAGCTCTGACTGTCCCGGAAATCACCCTATAGATCAGGCTGGCTGCAAACTCACAGAGATCCTCCTGCCTCTGCCTCCTGTGTGTTGGGATTAAAGGCAGGCACCACCATGCCCAGCTCTATATGTGGTTTTAATTATACCATTTGTTGTTCTTTTATGTCCAGCTTTATGGTTTTCTTAAAAAAAAATTGTTCTATTTTCAACTCAGTGCACTTGTGTGCACCCTGAGTGTGGGTTTATGCATGTGCACGTGCGTCAGTGCCCTTGGAGGCCAGAAGACAGCTTCATTTCCTGGAGCAGGAGGGAAAGGCCACTGGGAGCCAGCTCTAGAAACATGAGTTTTTAACTGCTGAGCCATCGCTCCAGCCTGCTGCTTTTTCTTTTTGAAATAAGTAAAATACATGGCTTGAAAGTCAAAGCTATATCCGTTCACAAAACTCTCACACTGTGTTTCTACTTAATAGCTAAACATTATTATTTAATTTCTTGGTTATGTTTTCTATATCTCTTTCCAAAAGAAGCAATTAATTTATTTATGTTTTAATTTCCTTTTTCTAATATAGTAGGAAATATTTTTCTCTAAAATTATATATAAATATCTTTCCATAGAATTATATATAAAATTATTTTATACTTTGGTTTTGAAGTTAACAACATAACCTGAATATATTGTGAGAATTCTTTTTTTTTTGGTTTTTGTTTTTCGAGACAGGGTTTCTCTGCAGCATTGGAGCCTGTCCTGGAACTCGCTTTTGTAGACCAGGCTGGTCTTGAACTCACAGAGATCCGCCTGCCTCTACCTCCCTAGTGCTGGGATTAAAGGCGTGCGCCACCACCGCCCAGCTCAATAAAAATTTTTTAATTGGTTTTTCGAGACAGAGCTTCTCTGTAGCTTTGGAGCCTGTCCTGGAACTAGTTCTTGTAGACTAGGCTGGACTTGAACTCATAAAGATCTGCCTGCCTCTATGTATCTCCATCAATCTCCTTCCCTTCATATTAGAAAAAGGTACAGACCCTTAGTTAGACATGTGCTCATCTTTAAAACAATACAATGTCTGTCTATCAGACTCCTATGACCTCAAGTTCCAGAATATCAAGGCAACATTCTTTTAAAGGCACACTTCCCTTTGGTTTGAACCCAGGTTTAGAACCAGTCTGCGCATTGTCCAAGGGAAAGGATAACCAGACAATAAGACAACAAGCTGTCGTTATGAGCTGGCTCGGGCATCACTTCTCCAGGCCCCACGAGGACGTTTCCTTGCTCAGTACACATGCGCCACTCTTCTCCCTCATATCGTCTGAAGATGAGCATTTAATTTCCAACCTGAGGTAGGAAGTCAGGTGACTTTTCTCGCAGGTGTTGCTGTTGGACTATCCAGCCAATCTCTTTGTAAAAGGAGCCCGGGAAAGAACAGCGGCTTTTGTGGGGAGACTGGGAGTACCTAGCCCCAAGAGTGCGTGAGAAGGGGGCAACCGTGCATGGCTTGTGAAAGGACCGCTTGAGTTCAAGGAAATCTCTTCATTCTTAGTTTAAATTATCCTGTCCCGACCAAGCGAAACTTTATTTCTGGCCACTGCCTGTGAAATCCACTTCTTTGACATAAATATCTCAGAGATTTGACTTCAATAAAGAATTTGGAGTAAACAAGGGGGCCTGAGTGGAAAGTACAATAAATTCTTAGCACTGCATGTTTGATTAAAGAATTAACAGAAACTGCCCAGACTGGTGTATTCAACATGGGGACAGTCAGCTTTTGTTGGGGAGGGTGCCTAGCTTCTTAGGTGAGTGAGTTAGAAGAGAGTGAAGCCAGAAGAGAGAGTGTATTTTACCAATCTGAAGCATCACCAGGTAGAAGGATCAAAGAGACTACGGCTGCTGTCATCCCATTTCCCACTAAAGCTTCCCTCTGCTTTTGATGAGCAGAATTACCGCCTCTCTTGGTTTTCTCAGGGCCATCTTGATTTTAGTACTAGTCAAATTAAGATGGTTGATCATCTTGACTGTATTTCAAGGTATTTGGGTAGCACATGTATCAGCTTAAAAACACCAACCCAGATTTCTCTGCCTTCTTTGTTCCTTAGAAAAGCAAAGAAAGCCCACTGGATGCTGAAGTCATGCTAACACTAGCTGCTGTCAGTTGCATGCCTCCCATGCACCAAGTACATGATATTGTTGAATGCTCACGGCAACCAAGAGCTAGAGTACTTAAAACACAGTTGGAGGAGGAAGATGAGGCCAGAGCTGAGGGCAATGATGGGGTCTTTCCTAAGCTTGAAGAGCTAGAACGTAGCTGGGCTGGATTTGAAATTCAGTGTGCACCAGTTTGTTCTTTCTGCTTATGAATGGGCAGCGTCTCTGATTTGGCCCAGTTCTGTGGGCATCAGTTGTATCCATCATGCGCAAGCTCGTTCTTGTTCTTTGTGGTGGCATAAGCATTCCTTGCAGGTCATATAGACAAGCTGCCCAAGAAGTTACAGTGACTACTTTCATCTCATGTGTAGCAGGCCCAGATTAAGATAAGCCACTCTGCCCTTGGTCTTGCTTTGAATCTCTTTCTTTAATTCTCCCTCTCCTTTGATAGGATTTTGCTATGCAGGCTTGGTTGCTCTCAACCTCTTTTGCCTTGTTTGTCCAGGTACTGGGATTACCAGTGTACATTGTACACCTCATTACCTTTCTATTTTTAGTGGGACTACCAAATGCCTGGCACATAGGCAGTGCCTAGGGAAGGGCTGGCATTACTTTCTGAATCATGACAGATGAGCAGTGTTAAGCTTGAACTGAAACTTGAACTTTGCACCTATAAATCTAAACATTTTAATAAAATCACCAAAGATTCAGAGTATTAGAATAGAGTTCTTATTGAGTACAAAATTAGACAAACACACACACCACAAACACACACACACATACACACACACACACACACACACAAGTAATTTTTTCCAACAAGTAAAAGTTACCTTCTCAGTTACTTGATTTGGAGTAGATAGAAGACTGGCCTCCTTGCTGTGATAAAAAGGTGTTATGCACATAATTTTAAGATAGAAGCAAAAATCTCTTGTCTAGGGCTGCAGACTGCAAATGGTTCATTTCAGGGAAAAATCTTTCCAGGTGCTCAGCCCTCAGAAATCCCTCTACTAAAATCAGAGATGATTGAAGCTCTTAGCATAATGATGGAAGCCCTCACTGGTAGGCACCATGCCGAGAAGGAAATGCCTTGGATTGTGTAGAGAGATGCAGAAAGCTTTTAGGCTATCCTCTGCTTTTATTTCATCAGTTCACACCTGAGAGTTATGCTACAGAATTGAAATGCAGTTCAAGTTGCATAATTTAGCCCAGAGGAGCTAGATTGAAGAAAGACTTGAGTACAATAGGAGAGACAGTGAATCTATTTGATCCAATCAGCAAATATTTATCGAGTACTCACTCCGTTTCAGGGCAGTGTGCTGATGCTGGGCATACAAAGAGGAACAACAGCCTGTGCCCCTGGCAACAAGGAGCACACATGGAGGGAGATGAAACAGGGCCAGTATGAAAGCAGCTTCTTCAGGACCAGTTTCAAATGTTCATAGGTGTCCGGGTGAGGCCACTCCTGGTACTTTCTTGGTCTCTCTGTTCATCAATGCCATTAACTCAGGATTCCATCCCTCTGCCCTACTGAACTTTACTTCCTAGGTGTCATCTCCATATACAGCCACACCGGGGGCTGGAGACTCAATATGCATTTCAGGGAGCATATGTCAGTCCACAGAAATAACCCTTAACACACTTCAGGCTGAACATCAACACACGCAGGCTATAATCCTCTTGTTCTTCACACACATCTGAGTGGCAGACGAAAGGGTGTTTTACAATTTTGTTTTGAACTTATCTGTTTATATATCATGATGAGCCACTGGCGACTACTTTTCAGCAGCTATGCCTCTGGGCATTTTTTGAGCAACAGGAAAACCTTAAACACATTTTCAAATGCAATCAAATATTTGCGGGTGGTACTGTGTGTGGTGACGTAAGCCTTTAACTCAGCACTCAGTAGGCAGAGGCAGCTTCATCTCTTGTGAGTTCCAGGCCAGCCAGGACTACACAGACCTTGGCTCAAAATCAAACGACAAAAATACTCCAAGCAACAACAGAATTCGTGAGTTCTATTTGGCAATGGAATGGGCATAATGCTAATTTCCAGTGTTTGACTTAGCATCAGCTTTATGTTTTACACATTTTTCCAAGTCTTAAGAACATATAGGGTGGGGCTGGAGAGATGGCTCAGCGGTTAAGAGCATTGCCTGCTCTTCCAAAGGTCCTGAGTTCAATTCCCAGCAACCACATGGTGGCTCACAACCATCTATAATGAGGTCTGGTGCCCTCTTCTGGCCTGCAGGCATACATGTAGAAATTGTATACATAATAAATAAATATTTAAAAAAAAAGAACATATAGGGTCTCAAAGTGCTAATTAGACCCTAAGTATTATCTGTAATGCCTACCAGATAAAAGGACGAGCCCTGCTCTGGGGACCCAGTAGCTCCAGCCCAGCCTCTAGGTCCCTTCTGAGCTCTCGTGGAGCATCTCCAGCTCTTTAACATCTTGATGACTCACTGGGTCTTTGGAGTAGGTGTGTTTCAAGTATCCTCTCTTCTTGCCTACTACCTGTTCTGTGTCCCTTGCCATTCCTGTTCCACGGACACCGCCTAGCTGGTGAAGACTTGGGAGCTGTTGCAGTCACCAGTGGCTTTCAGATCCACTGCATGAGGTGTCAGGTGGCAACAGACTTCTTGCTTAAGAGTTACCTGGAAACCTGTTACAGTCGTGACTTCTAGACTTCATCTTTGGAGACCCGTGCAGTTGGTCTGGGGCAGGGCTTTGGGACTTGTTTCAGCAAGTTGTCCTGTTTGGTGATGCTTGGGCAAGCGATTAATTTTCTTGTCCCTGTGACAGAGTGCACGGCATAAACACCTGAACAGAAAGAATGGTGTGGTTTGGCTTACGATTTCAGAGATTTCAATCCATATTCCTTAGTCCCATTGATTATGGGCCTGTGTTGAGATGACCGTGGTGGTAGGAATATATGAAGGAAGGTGGTGTATACCTTAGGGTAGACAGGAAGCAGGCAGGGAGAAAGGGGCTGTTCTCTGGCCCCTTTAAAGGCTCCCTTCAAAGGCATGACTTGTCCCTTCACAAGGCAAAACCTTCAAAGAACCCAATGAAGTACTTTTTCCAAATAGGCCTTGTCACCTAAAGGTTCCAGAACCTCAAATCATACCACCAGCTGGGAACCTTCAACACAACAATAGCAGGGAGTGTTGGTGTAGTGAAGACATATCACCATACCATAACATCTCACTGATTTGATTGCTCCAAATCAGATCTGAAAGGAGCTCTCCAGCCATTTGTCCCCAGAGCAACGCACTCTTATGATTGGTCAGCCAAGTTTCACTTTGACTCCTAGGGCATCTAGAACTAGGTGACCTACTGCAACAATGGTTCCTGGGGAAATGGGGTTGCATCTTGTTTATTTTATTGTTATTGTGAATGTGAGGCAGGTTCCGTCCTTAATTTTCCACAGCACCTCAGAGATCAGGTGCAGACAGCTCATGAGGCTTGCTGTAGGAGAGGCATACCACAAGGTAATGACAACACAGTGCAGGCTCAGACTCATGATAGGCCCCACTGACTCCAAGCTGACCCAGCTTTCCCATGAACCTTGAAGCAGCTTACCTTCATCTATGGAAATGACTCTTGCCATTTCCATGACTGAAATTCAGACAGAACTTTTTTTTTGGCCCATTTCCTGTGGACAGAGATTTATTTTTGCATTCTTCCATAATTCCTTTGCATTTTCTATGTTGCTGACAGTTTACAAATACACATTCAGCAAATCAGTGTATCTGTCAGTGAGATTTGCCACTCTTAGACTGTTCAGACAGAACTTTTTAACCTCAGAAAGAGGAGGGAGCTTTTCCCCTCACTTCACCGTTACATCCCAGTCCCTTAAGCAATTGTTTCCTAATTTAGAATTACAGAAAGTGGAACTATCCATTCCTTTCAGGGAAAATTAACTCCAAGAGGAATGTGTGGGATGTTCTGCATTGGGGCCATCCACATGTCGACCCCAGTAGCTGAGCCCAGGTTCCTAGCTGCTCTCTCAGTCCCCCCAATCATTCTTTCTTGAGCAGATGCTCACCGCTCTTGGGTTATAGCTTACTTCACCTGTGGCACACCCTCGGGTGACAGTAAACTAGTTATATGTCTTTCAGTTGATACAATAAGCCCCGTGAGATCGTTTTCCCATCTGAACTGACAGGAGGTAGGGAGTACAAACCACTTTGCTGAGGTCATGTCACCATGGAGGGACATGCTGGGATCTGACTGGATGTCTCTTTGTTTCAAGTTTGTGAAGTTAGCTATTATGAAACCCTGGCAAACACTAGGTGTTAGACTGGACATTGAACTTGAGTAAGAGATTGGTCCTTAATGGGACTAAACATTATAAAGTCAGAGGAGGCATGCTGAAAGAGGGAGCTGATCGCGTCAGCCTGGATTATGTATGACTCAGCCTCTTGGCTCCACGGGTCTTCTTTATTGTTCTGTTTTGATCAGTGGTTATCATTCTTCAGCATCTTGGTTAACAAGTTAACCATCATCCTTGACTCTCCAGGAGCCAAGTACCAGCTCGAACCGTGGTGAAGCAGCCTATCCGCGGAGCCAGCAGCAGGACCACAGTCACGGCCATCGTCCAGACTGGTGGGGACTGGAGCACTGGCCTCTTCAGCATCTGCAGAGACAGGAAAATCTGTACGGGCTTCCTTTTCACTCACGCTCCTCCTTACCATTTTCTCCCATGAGGTATCAGTAAGTGGAAAAGCTACCCCAGCACAAGGTCAGAAAGTAAAAGATTTCAGAATAACTGGACTAGTCTAGTGTCTCAGGGCTGTTCCTTAGTTGGGGAAAAAAAAGTCATGCTTTTCAACAGTGTAGACCAGTTCATAGGATAAGTGGTATTTTCAAAGATTTTTTTTTTATTCAAATGATAGAATCCATAGTTGGTAAAGACACAAAATAGCCTCCCTTGTCACTAGAAGTGACGGTATGAACTGGTAGAGTTCAGCAAGGGTTACACTAGTGTTTCCCCTGATAACTACTTTTCTTAGTAGGAGCTTAATCTGAGAAAATAAATTACGCTCAAAATTTAACAGGCACCTCAACACTGCAGCCCTGGTCACTGTGGCAAAGCTTGGAACAGCATACGAACTGCATGCATCCACTGGGTTATTATACAGCTCTGAAGAGTCACAGAGTAGAGTAACAGTCAGTGAGTTAAAAGTTCTTTTGTGTACAGTTTCACTTTTGTTAATTTTTTTTTTTTTTTGAGACAGGGTCTCACTGTTTCCCTGGCTTGTTTGGAACTCACCGAGTTCCACCTGCTTCTGCCTCCTGAGCGCTGGGACTCAAGGTGCATGGTACCACACCTGTCTTGCATATGGTTTTGAGTTTAAGAAGTCGAGTGAGTGCAAAACTGTGTTCATCAAATTCCATCTGGAGGAGGTGAATACATTTAGGGAAAAAAAGCTTAGGAGGATCTAATACTATTATTTACAGCAGATATCTCCAGATGGCAGGCTAACAAATACATTTCATTTTTCAAAAATTATCTCCTTAATCTCTCCATGCATTGCTCTTGTAACAAGAATGATCTGAAAGGAAACGCCCTTTGTTGACTGAGATCTTGTCTGGCTCTGGTTCAGTTGTCAAGAGGTTCTAGTTTCATGACTGACCTCTGGCTTACAGCAAAGGCACACTGAGTCACTGTTTATCTCAGCGGCCATGTCTCAGGATCCCAGAACCTGTGAGAAGCAAGTGTTGGGTCCTGATTTAAAACCACCATTTAGTGGTCATAAAAAAGAAAAAATATAGAAGACAGGCCAAGGACAGAACAGTATCTGTAGGTGCGGATATTTTGACGCTCCCCCACCCACCTCCAGATCCCTTACTTATGTGTGTACACATAAGTGGAAGAATTGTAAATATACATTACCAGACACCTCTGTTTCGATTTCACCACACACGTACGTGATCACGCCACATAAGCACATCTGGAGCTAATTTCTTAAAATGCCTCATGAATCCCCTTGTATCCCAGTTTGTTGATGCAGAAACTCTGGTTGCTGGACCTTTATGGGGTTTACTCAAACCAGTGCCGTGCAACTCTGCTTGTTCAGATGTCAGTTTTGCATAGCGTGAGGATATCTGTCTTGGGTAACTGCTAATGAGTAAACTTGCTGGCCAAACAGAATGTGCCTCTTTAAATTATAGTAGATGTCGCCAAGTGGCTTTCTTTCTGGAAGGTGAGTTAATTTGCACTCCCACTGGCGGCGCATGCGTGTGCTCGTTCCTCTCTAAAGGATCTTATTATTGGAAGGTTCAGGCTCCCTTGCAGCAAAGCGACCTGAAATGTGCTGTGTTTAATTCCCACTCACCTTCCTTCAGTTCTTTGGGCCTCTACACCACCGCTTCTTGTCTTTGTTTTGACTTGCCCATAAGGGAGAAGGATGACATTCTACACAGGAGGGTGGAGAACAGGCCTCGGTTTAGGTGGGCTGTGGAAGTAAAGGGAAAGGCTGAATGTGTACCACGCATCCCTATTGACCGTGAGCTCTGTAAAAGAAGAAAATATATGACTGATAACATGTTGGCACATTCACCTTGTAAAAATGGGGTGCTACAGAGAAAGGATCCGTGTCTCTTTGTAAATACCATTTATGGTTGCAAACAAGAGCAACAACAAAAAAATCATTTGGGAACATTTCCTTCCAGGTATTTTCTCTACATTCACCTGTGTAAATCTGTTAGCAATCTATGCTATTGCTTTGTAACTCATTAGGCAAAGCATAAATGGTATTAAGTTGTGCTCCTTATGCAATTTGATTTTTTAAAATTCAAATTAGCCTTAGAGATTTTGCTCTGTTGGTACTTAATTGAATTTTTATCACATCCTTTTAGAAAAGTTTGTGCATGTGTGTGCATGTGCATGCAGTGTATGTGCAGGTATGGGTACCAGTGTGCATGGGCAGAAGCCAGAAGAAGGCATCTGATATCCTCCTCTATTAGACTCCACTTTATGCTCCTTTGAGATTGGGCCTCTCATTGAACCTAGAGTTAGACTGGCAGCCATCAAGCCCCACCACTCCTCCTGTCTCTGTCTCCCACGGTCCTGGCATTGCAGGTATGTATGCTGGCTTATGTTGTCTTTGCTGGGATCCAAACCCAGGTCCTCATGGCTGCCCAGCAAGCATTCTTGATCACCGAGTCACCTCTCCAGTCCGTTTCCCACATTCTTAGTGGTTACACGCCATGTTTTATCTGTTCTTCAGCCTACTGACATGCCTTTGCATTTGTAAATGCTGTGATGCAGACACGCTGCAGTGACTATCCTTGCAGGTGTCCTTCTGTGCAGTTGAAGTTACTCTAGGTGCTGATGAGTGAGATTATTCATTCCTAGAGTGTGTTTAAGTCTTAATAGATTGAGCAAAGTTCTTATCTAATGTGGTTAGGCCAATTTCCACATTCATGTATTGGTAATTTTATGTCCCCAAACATATATTAAAAATGGGGCATTCTTGTGAGTAGCAAGTGACTTCTGATAGTATTAATATGCTTTTATAATGACATTATTGTTGGCCATTGGTATTTACTCTGAGTTTGAAGCCAGCCTGGTCTACAGAGTGAGTTCCAGAACATCCAGCAATACACAGAGAAACCCTGTCTCAAAACAAACAAACAAAAAAGTGCCTAGTTTATATGATGCTTTCAGAGATTAAATGAGCTAACACATGTTAAATGTTTTCAGGAAGAGCTTGGCACACAGAGAACTCTTTATAAACATGAACTACTGTGAAATAAATATTTCTATATAGGCTTCTATATAGACATTTTTAAAAAACCACAGCTGACTTCTAGTTCAAAGTGATTGTAAGTATTGTGATTTGAATGAGAACATTTCCCAAAGGCTCGTATATTTAATACTTGGTCCCCAGATGGTGGAACTGTTTGGGAAGGACTAGGAGGTATAGCCTTGTTGGAGGAAGTGTCACTTTTTTTTTTTAAAGAGAGGTGGACTTTGAGGTTTCAAAAGTCCACATCATTCCCAGTTATCTCTATCTCTCCCTCTTGCTGTGGATCAGAAGTAATCTCTCTGCTGCTGCTCTGGCACCATGTCTGCCTGACCGCTGTCATTACTCCCCACCATGACAGGCATGAACTCTAACCATCTGGAACCACAAGCCCCTAATTAAATGTTTTCTTCTAGAAGTTGCTATGATCATGGTGTTTTGTCACCTCAGTAGAAAAGTAAGACAAGTGTCTAAAAAGCACACTTATATAGCATGGTTATCTGACAGACAGATTCAAAATCAACCAACCAACCAACAAGAAAACCTAGCAAGTGAGTTCTAACGTGGAGCAAAAGTGCTAAGGCACAATCAATGTCTTTACAGGGTGTGGTACAGTTCAGAGACGAGTAAACAGGATTGATCAGTTGCTTAATTTGCCAGCTTTATAATTAGGCAAATTTTTGTTAATTGCTTTGTTCGTGGGAATTTACCGTCTTTCATAATCTTCACAGACTGTACCATTGATTTCAAATTGTTCTAATTCAAGGTTGCAGATGCTGGGAACCCTCTGCTTGCTGCAAATTTGCTAGGCCTTATACTGCTTTCCAAGTTGTTCAGACTAGTTGTCAGTGCTGGGCAGAGTCTCCTTTTCTGCTCAGGAATTATTTTTTAGCAGGACTGATCCTTGTGCATTCTAGGCAAATACACGACCATGGAGCTGTAGCCACAGTCAGGATTTTTTTTTTTTGATTCAGATTAAAATATCTTAGAATTATTTGAGGTTTACTTAATTTGCTTTTAGCTACAAGGTACCTACCATACCTTTGTTTCTGGCGCATCAGAAGCTGTGGTGACTAACACTTCACACAAGCTACAATGGCTAAAACAAAACTTCTGAAAATAGCAAATGCTGGCCATGATGTCAAGCCATTAGAAGTCTTGAATGGTGTCAGAGGGGGTATGGAATGGTACACATGCTTTGGAGAACTATTTCTCTATATTTGTAGAATTAAACATATGACCTAGAAATTCCACTCTCAGGAAACTACTCAGATAAAATAAAGTCATATATCCACACACTGAATTGGAGGTATGTCTATATAAAGACTTACATGTGAGTATGCATAGTGGTATTAATATCAAAAAATGGAGCAATAAAATGTCGGTTAGTGGGAGAATAAACAGTTTTTAGACTATTCATACGATGAAATGCTACTTATTCAACAGTACTAGCTATAACTTATATAACAACATGAGTAAACCTAAAAAAAACCTCACGGAATTGCACAAAACAATAGAAGTAAATGTGATTCCATTGAGATGAGGGATAGAAGTCATGACTGTGTTTCCCTCAGGAGTAGGGGTGATAAGGGTATGATTTCCTGTTATATAGGTGAATGCTACTATTGTCACCCAAAGTGAATACTTAAGGTTTGTGCATTTTTTTGTATATAAAATTCCTCCTGATTAAAATGTTTAGCATGTATACTGCATATTTTTATGTCAACTTGATATGAGCTAAAATTAAGTAAGAGGAGGGAACCTTAATTAAGAAAATCCTCCATATGATTGGTCTATAGGCAGGCCTGTAGGGCATTTGCTTAATTAGTGATTGGTGAGGGAGGGCCCAGCCTATTGTGGATGGTGCCATCCCTGGGCTGGTGGTCCTGGGTTCTATAAGAAACCAGACTGAGGGGGCTGGAGAGGTGGCTCAGCGGTTAAGAGCACTGGCTGCTCTTCCAGAGGTCCTGAGTTCAATTCCCAGCAACCACATGGTGGCTCACAACCATCTGTACTGAGATCTGGCACCCTCCTCTGGCATGTGGGCATACAGGGAGGCAGAATGTTGTATTATATAATAAATAAATAAATCTTTAAAAAAAAAATAGAAACCAGACTGAGCAAGCCATGAGGAGCAAGCCAGTAAGAAGCATCCCTACATGGCCTCTGCATCAGCTTCTGCTTCCAGGTCCCTGCCCCATTTGAGTTTCTGTTCCAACTTCCTTCAGTGATGAACACTTAAAAACAAGCCAAATAAACCCTTTCCTTCCCTTCCCAAATTGCTTTGGTCATGTGCTTTATCCCAGCAATGACAACCCTAACTAAGACAGTGTGTTTCCAAAGACTGGTATCGTGGCATTTTTGTTGGTTCATAGTCCTAATTATTTGAAATAATCAGGATTGTCATCTTTTTGCAGTTTTAGATGATGTGACATCTTAACTGCGTGTCAGGAGCTCTCGCGGCTCGTTAATAGTTTTCTGTGGCTCTATGAGCTCCGTGGAAGGGAGTGAACAATTTGCCTGCCCTTGGGCATGCGCTTTCTCTTCCCTTCTGGAGCAAGTTCGTAACAGCCATTACATTCTCCAGAGGCTCTGTGGCCTCAAACATCTTGGGAATAGAATCCGTGTTAGTCCATTCAGTCTGTGTAGCAAGTCATATCAAGAGTTAATGGTGAATGAAGTACTAAGTGGAAACCATTTCCAGTTGACACTCAAGGGCCCAGTCACCTAGTAGTTTACAGATTAAAATGGACGAATGTCAGTGGCTCTGTGAAGCTGACAAAATTCAGAATAATCTCAGATCTGAGAAATAGAATAAAACCCTGACAAGAATAGGAAACGGGGTCAGTTTTTCTATCGTTTTTACAGAAAGGAGTATCTGTTATTCAGGAAGCTTCTAGTATCCTAGGTCCATGTTAAAAATTGGATAGAAGATATACGTATCAGTTATGATTCAAAAATTACTTAACATTTTTGGCAGGAAAAAAAGTTCCCATAATCGATGCTAACAGAATCGTGTCAGGTTCAGTTTTGGCAATATTTAACAAAAGAACACAATTTTGATATGTCTAGGTAATGACGATTTTCTAGCTTTGAGTTTTGAGAATTGTTTATTCATTCTTTGTCCCTGGTTCCAGGCAGACAATGCGGTGTTGAATTGATGGCACAGGGTTGCGAATCTGTTTAAAATGTGAAGTTGTTCCCTGAATTTCTGAGAACGCTGGTTTTCTTTTATGTGCAATCGACAGGTTTCTGTGGTCTCTTTTGTCCCATGTGTCTTGAGTGTGACATTGCCAGGCATTATGGAGAGTGTCTTTGTTGGCCACTGTTACCAGGGTCTACCTTTGCACTGAGAACTGGCACCAGAGAGAGGCATAAGATACAGGTAAGGACAACTGAGGCATATATGAATCCAAATCTTTATGAGAACTTGGATGCTTTTCAAACCTATGATTCTCCAAGGTGATTGGGGGGGGGGGGAGAGAGAGAGAGAGAAAGAGAGAGAGAGAGAGAGAGAGAGAGAGAGAGAAACACACGCTTAAAAAATCTCACACTTAATAAAAAATGGTGGGGAATGAAAGTTCTGATTTCATTATTTACTAGGAGTTATCATTTAAATGAAAAGTATATTTTATATTGAAGGCTATTTCAAGAAGAAATCATAATGCAGACTGTGTTGGTCAACAGGTCTGGTCAAATCATTGGCCAACTTACACACTCTGAGATGTACTTTGATGCGTAAAACTAGGTGATTGTAGCCAATATCCCCTCCCATCTACAGAAATAAAAGCACACTTGTCTCTTATTACTTCAAGACATGGCGGATGGACTCAAACCTAATTTGGAGGAAGTGCTTGTGAGGTCTGACACTCCAAAGTGTAGCCCATGTGTCACAGGTAGACTTTACTTAGGAGGCTCCTTGTGGTCCTTAACTTTCAGTAGAGCCAAGACTGAAGCCATGAGTGGGTGAGCAGAGATGGGTGCAAACACATACAGACACAGAGGGTTTTCCAAAGGGAACCTTCTATGTTGGACACAGACAGACAGTCTCTCTCTCCCAGTATCTAGGTATTTTGTGGGATGATCTTTTTATGTGAACAAAACAAGACACAGGCTTGTGTGAATCCTCATGTATAAGGACCGTATGTATATGTTTAGACTGATCCAGTTTGCCTGGATGTAACTGTTAACCAATGATTGTCCCCAGGCAGGTGGCTGGGTGACTGGGGACAGCTCTGGGGGAGGCAAGGGGAGATTTTCTTTTTTACTTCACATCCCTTTTTACTATGGGGTTTTGGGACCATTTTATTACCTGATATTCAGGTGCCTTATTACCTGAAGGGATGCTACCCCACTAGAGCATGTGGCTCTGACAGGCTTGCCCTTCTCCCTGACTCCCTCTGCCTTGCTAAACCATTAGAATACATTCCTAAAGCTAGCCCCTTTCTCCTCCTGAGGCTGACTACCAAGGTCCAGCTATCAAAGTATTGAAGTCCAGCAATCAACCCCCCTTTGGCTCACCTAATTAACATGCCTAATTAAAACTGTATACCTCATCCTAACCTGGGGCTTCCCATTTTACCTTTAAAAGCTGCCATTTTCTTATGGGCCCCATCTGTTTCCTCCCAATCCAATCACAGTCCGTTGTCATCCCCCTCCAGGATAAATACCCCTTGAGAAACAGAAACAGTCCTGTGTCATTTGGTCTTACCCTAGGGGACACTCTGTGAAGACTGGATGGTGGTGCATTGCTGCTGGCCTTTCTCCATCTGTCAGGTGGCCCGAGAACTCAAGATGAGAACCTCCCAACTCTACGAGATCTGTGCAATTCAAGCACCCAAGGACAGCCTGGTTTGATAGCCCTCCTCCTGCGCTCGCTCTCCCATGCCTTCCTCTCAAACCTGTCTTAGAAGGGTAGTTTTTTCCCCCATAGTATTCACTGGAATAGAATAAATGATTTATTCACTATTGTCTCTGCTGTGTTATGATTCCCCCAAGGTTTTGAGTAGTTTCTGACTTTGCTATTTTGGTCTAGCCATACACAGTACCTTCTAGAGGTGAGTGATATATTCTCCCCTCCCCCTGGCTTTTGGAAGGTTGACTTTTCTCCTAGTTTCTGATGCCATCATTTCCCATGAGGCTGAAAAAGTCCCATGTATATTTATTTCCCCAAAATATCAGTGATGGGCCAGGCCCGATTAACTAGGCACTGATGTCTTTGGAACAGTAAGCCATTGCCCCCTCCCCCCCAGCCCAACTCCTTTAGTCTTAGTTGTACAGTAAGGACCCTCTGAATGTGGCTGACAATTGGGGCCGACTGAGAAGCCAATGAAAATGACACTGGGATTTGTCTCTACTGCATGTACTGGCTTTGTGGGACCCTAGTCTATTTGGATGCACACCTTCCTAGGCCTGGATGGAGGGGGAAGGGCCTTGGACTTCCCACGGGACAGGGTACCCTGCTCTCTCTTAGGACTGGAGGAGGAGGGAGGAGGGTGACAGGGGGAGCGGGAGGGAAATGGGAGGAGGGGAGGAAGTGGAATTTTTTTCTTTTTAACAAAACACAGGAAGCGTTTATTGCGGATCCCAATTTGAGGGTGTGTATTGGAAGTGGAAATTTTGAATGGTATTATTTATAAAGTAATAAAAATAAATTTTTTTTTTCAAAAAGAAAGTCTGTATTGGTGCTGATCTTGAATTCTCTTCCAACACTTTCAGTCTCCTTGCTCCAGGCTCAAAATCCATAACTGGGTGAGCATTATGGGTTAGATTGTGTTTCCTGCTTCTCCTATACTCCACAAGAGATACATTGCAGCCCAAGTCCTGGCACCTGTGAAGAAGACCTTATCTGGAAACAATCTTCGCAAACGTGATGAAATTAAGATTAGGTCAGTAGGGTAGGCCCGAATACAGCATGATAGGTGCCCTGTAAAGAAGAGGCAGGAGTAGAGACGCACACGTGAAATCACGTGAGGACGGGAGGGAGGCTGCTACCAGGCAAGGACTGCTTAGGGAGGCTGAAGCTGGAGGAGACAAGGGAGAATCCAGCCCCAGAAGTGTGGAGGAAACACGGTCCTGCCAATATCCTGTGTTCAGATATCCCCCTCTATAAACGTGACAGAATAAGCTTCTATTGTTCCAAGACACCAAGTCTGTGGCGGTTTATACACCATCCCCAGGAGGCTAGCGTGGCAACCACCTACTTTGTGAATTGAGTATGGCATCTATCTAGTTCTGTCAGGTCAACAGCACAGAGCTGAAGAACTTGAACGCCTATTAACTGATTGTGCACCTGTGGGCAGTTTCGTTACCTCCTGTGTCTCGGTTCCTCATGGATAAAGGGGCTGGTGTTAGCATTGACCTTAAAGGGCTATGAGGTTATAACAGTCAAGCCGTGTAGCGCTGTGCTGAGTGAGTAGAATTAAGGACTCAGTAAATACACTTCTCTCTCTCCCTGCCCCCACACCCTGACACTTTTTCTCCTCTTGGTTTTTCAAGACAGGGTTTCTCTGTATAGCCCTAGCTGTCCTGGATCTCACTCCATAGAGCAGGCTGTCCTTGAATTTAAAGATTTGCCTACCTCTACCTCCCAGACACTGGAATTAAAGGCATGTACCACAAGTGTCTGGCTTTTTTTGCAGGTGTGTGTGTGTGTGTGTGTGTGTGTGGTGTAGTGTGGTGTGGTGCTGGTGGGGAGGAATGTAAATACCCTATTGAGAATTTATGACTGTGATGGTTTGGAAGAAAATAGCCCCCAAAGGGAGTGGCACTATTAGGAGGTGTGGTTTGGCTGGAGGAAGTGCATCACCATGGAGGCAGGCTTTGAGGTCTCATCTCTGCTCAAGCCATGTCCAGTGAGATGGACCACTTCCTGTTGCCTGTGAGTCAAGATGTAAGAACTTCCTCCACCACCATGTCTGCCCACATGCTGCCATGTCCCACCACGATGACAAACCTCTAAACTGTAAGCCACCCCATTGAATGTTTTCCTTTATAAGCGTTGCCATGGTTATGGTGTCTCTTCATAGCAATAGAAACCCCAAGACAATGGCAACCTTTGTAATAAATTGTACTAATTTCTATTTATAGTTGGGACATAAATTCTCTTAACTGATAAGCCATTTCTTCAGCTAGATATACACTTTCTTTTAAAATTGAAAAGAAAATTATTTTATGTATATGGGTATTTTGCCTGTATGTATGTCTGTGTACTGTTTGTATGCCTGATGTCCATAGAGGCCAGAAGAAATGGAGTTATGGTCAGTTGTGAGCTGCCATATGAGTGCTGGGACATGAACCTGGGTCTGGGTCTTCTGTAAGAGCAATGCTTTTTTTTTTAATTGCTGGGCCATCTCTCGAGGCCTGTAAAGTTTCTTAGAAAATTAAATTCTGCATGAAAATGGAGTCAGTTAAATAGGCACGATAGTTCACACCTGCTATCCCAGCACTTGGAGGAATAAACCAGGAAAACTGTAATCACTCAAAATAAGAAAGTTACTAGCATAGCTGGTATGTGGATGTAGCAAACACTCTGAAGGGGTAAAACACTGATTTCAAAAAAATATTTGTGTTAATATGATCATTGTGTATTATGTTGTATGTTTACTCGTAGTGTATGTGTGCCATGAATAGAGTATATTTGTAGGTCAGAGGGCAACTTTTGGGAGCCAGTTTCCCCTCTTATCATGGGTTACAGGGATGGAATTTAAATTACCAGGCTTGCACAACAGGGTTTTTTGTTTTTTGTTTTGTGTTGTTTTGTTTTTCGAGACAGGCTTTCTCTGTAGCTTTGGAGCCTGTCCTGGAACTAGCTCTTGTAGACCAGGCTGGCCTCAAACTCACAGAGATCAGCCTGTCTTTGCCTCCTGAGTGCTGGGATTAAAGATGTGCACCACCACCACCCGGTTACAGTAGGTGTTTTTACCACTGAACCATCTCAAAGGCCCAACACTAACAAACTCAAAATGCTCTGAATATTTTGAGCTATTCAACCCTTAGTGCCTGATGAACACTTCAGAAGAGAGACCTGAGCCACAGAAATGCAAATGACCTTCCCAAGGCTTCATAGCCCTCTGGAGCCCACATGGTTTCTCCAACCAGAACTTTCTTTACAGAGATGAATTCATTGTGGTCAGCCTTGCCAGTGTTTACTGTCCCTGCCCCTAATCGTTTCCACAGAATCACTCAGAGCAGATGCTAGGAGCTGGACCTCTTGGGGGAAAATTAAGTGCTCCACGTCGACATGTAATCTGCGATCAACCAATAACTGAAAAAAGCAGGCCCAGTAGAGACAATGGTTAAATGAAAATAACCTGTTTTTATTGTTTCACACTCAAACACAGGATCATAGAACAGGAGCAGAATTTATAAGAGAGTTCTCTGCTATTGTTATAAGATAGTACAGAGTGATCTTGAAGGGAGGCGGCATTGGTCCACAGCTTATGATTTTCTCTAAAAGAACATGTCAAGGCCAAGAAAAAGAACTTGACAAAAACCTGTGCTTCCTATGAGCACCATTATCCAATACTGCGTGTTTCTGTGACAGATAATAACTGATGTTAAGCATTCATCAGCTGCATCTACTCCCCAGCTGTGTGAGCTGGACAGAACAGAGACCCTGGTATAGCCCTAGGGGATACTGTGTATACATCGGCTGGTGGTACTCTTGGCTTTTTTCCATCTGTCAGTTGGCCTGAGAATGCAAGACAAGAACTTCCCAACTCTGCAATCTGTGAAGTCTGTGAAATTTGTGGTACAAATCTGAAAATTACCCAACAGTGAAGGCACGGTCTGCTTATCATAGACAAATTCCTTTTGGTTTTACCAGGATGCAAACTGTGGAACAAATCTCGGATGACTCCCTGTGCCAACACACAGGCAAGAGACGTTCCAAAGTAACCTGTTCAGAATGCCACACATCAGAAACCAGGAGACAGGCCAACAGAAAGCTCCTTGACGCTCTTCTATTTGCAGAACAAACTAAGGCCAACAGCTGCATTCCTGGGATACTCTAATTGTTTTGGAACAAAGCTATGCAAAGTATGGACGTCCCTGAGTGTCCATTTTCTGGTACAATTATTTTTATCTGTTTATATATTTCATGGAGCTAGAATTTATTTATCCCATATTCCATAATGACTTTTGCATGACACCCCTGTTATGGACATTATATACAAACATATTAACTCAAAAATATTCCCTTTTGGACTTTTAAAAGCACTGAATAAAAAAAAGAAGCAAGCAAAGGTAGAAGACTCTACAGCATGTCTATTTAAATTTCTGTAAGGCATTAATATTTCTCCCAGTCTATTTTCTTGATTCATTTTCCACCTAAATGACACTGCTTCTGCTCGACCAAATGCAGAAATAAGAAGCAATGATTTTAGATGGGACTCAGACTTTCATAGTTAGAAATCTATCGTAGGCCAAATCATGACTGCCTTTATTATACTAGTCAAACATGCAGCTTCACGGTCACCCGCCACCTTTTGACCAAGGGTGATTTGTCCTCTGTGTAATGGAACTGAGTCCAGACATGAGCACCTCGGAAAGTGAGGAGTTTTTCTGACCTTCTAGATTTGTCTTGGAATGAACGGACTTTTTCACCTTGTGTGTTACATAATTTGGTTTACTGGCTAACCCGGGTTCAAAAGATGAGCTAAATCCTCATGAAATCTTTCATACGAGCCATAGAAAGTTTCCAGAAACAAAAAAACAAGACAGCAGCATGTGTAAAAATGTGTAGCAAATTCTTGTTGCTTACGCTGTTGAGAGTTGGGAGCCATCATTGTTCCCTGTGGACAATGAGGCCCGGAGGACAAGGCTATCTGTAGAAATTTGGTCACTGGCTCTGGAGACTAACTTCTGTTATCCCCTAATTTTGATGAGGACAGATTGTTCCCGTTCAATGGTGTATTTATAAACATGCCATTTATAAAATAAAAATTTCCCCCAAATGTGGAATTCTGTGTTGGTACCCTGGCAAGTGCACTCACTGGGACTTAAGTGTAGGCAGCTCATAGCTGCTGCATGGGCTAGCTCCACACTGAAGGAAACCTCCTGTGCAAGCCCAC